TTTTTTGTTCGACTTACAATCATGTGTTTCGCTGTCGTAAAGGTCAAAAGTTCAAAACAGAGTCGTGATTTTATGGTGGCCTAAGAAGAATTTATTCAGGAATTTTTCGTTAAAAAAAGGGGAAATTTTGGGAATGAGCATGTTTTATAAAGTTAGCTGAATAGCTACAAAAAGTAGACTATAGTTTATACGATTTTGTTACCGAGTCATTCATTATTATTTTGAGTTAATTTTGAATTAATGTTTATGGTTGAAAAATCAACTGATTGTTATGAAATGTGATGAAAATAAAGAGCATAATGTAAAAACTGAATATAAATCACAAAATGCCTTTTTCTTTCTTTCTTCTTTTCGTCACTAAAAATTTGCACACAAAAATGCACTACATTTGTTGCCTTTTTATAGGCAAAGATGGGCACACATTTTAACACAACATTAATATAATAATACAATGATAAGTTTTAATAGTGGTAATATTCCACCAATTGTTTATAACACTCCCCCTTGGAATTACCACTATTAAATGTGCGTTTATGTTGCCTCGTTAAAAACCTTATCTGGAAAAACCCTGTGGGAAAAAACCGAGATAAGGAAAAAAGAGTACAACTGCACATACTCCCCCTCGAGTTATCATCTGTGCAAATTCCGAAGATGTCTCATTCTAATATTGTGTACGTGCTTTCGAAATATTGTCGTCGGAAGAGCCTTCGTGAATAAATCTGCTGCATTATCGCTTGATCGAATGTATTGAACTTTGATTTGTTTGTTTCTTTCAAGCTCTTGCGCATATGAGAAGAACTTTGGCGGGATATGTTTAGTTCTGTCACTCTTAATGTATCCTTCTTTCGTTTGAGCGACACATGCGGCATTGTCTTCGAATATCACCGTCGGGTCATTATTGTTTGATAGTCCACTGGCTTGTTGAATATGTTGAGTCATGTTTCTGAGCCAGATGCTTTCCCTAGTTGCTTCATGAAGTGCAATGATCTCAGCATGGTTTGAAGACGTCGCAACCAACGTTTGTTTCTGGGAGCGCCAAGAGAATGCAGTTCCACCAATCGTGAAAACGTAACCAGTTTGAGATCTTGCTTTATGGGGGTCTGATAGATATCCTGCATCTGCAAAACTGATTATTTCATGTTTTTTATCATTAGAGTAAAACAGTCCCAAATCGATTGTCCCGTGGAGATAACGGAATATATGCTTGATTCCATTCCAATGTCTCCTCGTAGGTGCCGAGTTATATTTGCTAATAAGTTGGTAGCAAAAGATATATCTGGTCTGGTGCAATTAGCAAGATACATAAGAGCTCCTATTGCACTCATATATGGTATTTCAGGACCAAGTATTTCTTCATATCCTTCACAAGGTCGAAACGGATCTTTTTCAATATCTAAATTTTGATTGACCATTGGGGCACTAAGTGGATTTGCCTTGTCCATATTGAATCGTTTCAGTATTCTTTTAGTGTAATTAGATTGATGGACAAATATCCCATTTTGGACTCGTTCTATTTGCAAGCCGAGACAATATTTGGTTTGTCCGAGATCTTTCATTTCAAATTCCCCTTTTAGTAAAGTGACTGCTTCTTGGATTTCATTTGTAGTCCCAGTAATATTAAGATCATCGACATAGACAGCAATTATCACAACTCCATCTTGTGATCTTTTTATAAAAACACACGGGCATATTTGATTATTTATGTATCCCCGTTTTAGTAATTGTTCAGTCAAACAATTATACCACATACGCCCGGATTGTTTTAAGCCATACAATGATCTTTGCAGTTTTATCGCACATAACTCTTTAGGTTTGGACTTTAGTGTCTCGGGTATTCTAAATCCTTCTGGAATTTTCATATAAATGTCAGCGTCTAGCGATCCATATAAGTAAGCAGTCACAACATCCATGAGACGCATCTCAAGATTTTCATGGATGGTCAAACTAATCAAGTATCTGAAAGTAATTGCATCCATAACAGGAGAATATGTTTCATCATAATCGATCCCAGGCCTCTAGGAGAATCCCTGTGCTACAAGGCGAGCTTTATATCTTGTGATCTCATTTTTCTCATTTCTTTTTCTGACAAAAACCCATCTGTATCCAATAGGTTTTATGTCTTTGGGTATAATGGTAATAGGTCCAAAAACCTTTCGTTTATTAAGTGAATTTAACTCGGCTTGAATAGCGTCTTTCCACTTGTCCGAATCATGTCTTTTCTGACATTCAATCATAGACTTTGGTTCAGGATCCTCAACTTCTTTATCAATTTCTTGTGATACCATATATGAGAATGCATCATCAATGATCTCATCACGCTTCCAAAGTTTCCCATTATTTACGTAATTGATGGAGATTTCAATATTTTCATTTCGTTCCAAAATTTTTCCATCATCTTGATTCTTTTTCAAATTCGAATCTTGAATTTTTCTTTTCTTTCGAGGATTTTTATCTTTAGACCCCACTGGTCTTCCTCGTTTCAATCGTGTCTTTAATTCATTGGGCATATCGTCATTTGTCATTTCTTTTGTAATTTCAATTCAAGCAGGGGCATTTATAGCTGCAACATGTGATTTTGTCACCCTTTTTGCGTCAGTAAATGCATCTGGCAATTGATTTACAATATTCTGCAGATGTATGATCTTTTGAACTTCTTGTTATTTGTTTGGTGGGAGGATGAAGATATGATAGTGAGGATGTTCTCCATTCAATATTTCTTTCAATTGACTTTTCATTCTCAGTTAAGGGGGGAAATAATTCTTCATTAAAATGACAATCATCAAACCGAGCTGTAAAAACATCACATGTTTTTGGCTCAAGGTATTTTATTATTGATGGAGATTCATATCCAACATATATTCTCAACCTTCTTTGAGGCCCCATTTTCGTACGTTAGGGCGGAGCAATTGGTACATACACTGCACAACCAAAAATTCTTATATGTGCAATATTTGGTTCTCGACCATATGCCAACTGTAATGGCGAGTATGTATAGTGTGCACTTGGTCTTATGCGTATTAGATTATCTGCATGCCGAATAGCATGTCCCCATACTGAAGTGGGGAGTTTTGTCCTCATTATCAATGGTCTGGCTATAAGCTGCAGTCGTTTAATCAATGATTCTGTTAGACCATTTTGAGTGTGAACATGTGCTACAGGATGTTCAACATCAATTCCCACTGCTATACAATAATCATTAAATGCTTGGGATGTAAACTCTCTAGCATTGTCAAGTCTGACTCTTTCGATAATATAATCTGGGAATTGAGCCATTAATTTGATAAGTTGGGCAAGTAATTTAGCAAATGTCACATTTCTAGTGGATAACAAACTCACATGAGACCATCTACTAGAGGAATTAATTAACACCATAAAATATCTGAATGGACCACAAGGTGGATGAATAGGTCCACATATATCACCATGAATCCTTTCTAAAAATAATGGTGATTCATGTCCGACTTTAGTATGTGATGGTCTTATTATCAATTTCCCTTGAGAACATGAGGCACACGTCAATTCATGTGTTTGCAGTATCCACTGATTTTTTAATGGATGCCCACTAGAATTTTCGATAATTCTTCGCATCATTATCGAGCCAGGATGACCAAGTCGATCATGCCAAAGTTTAAACATTTCATTCGCCTGTGACTTTGTTGCAGCATAAGTCTCAATAATATGAATGCGGGTGTAATATAAGCCCCAGGATAAAGCTGGTAATTTCTCCAAAACACATTTATTTCCTGCAATATTTGAGGTAATGCAAAAATATTCAACTCCCCCTTTATTCATTGTTTCAACATGGTATCCGTTTATTCGGATATCTTTAAAACTCAACAAATTTCTTGTTGATTTTGGGGAGAATAATGCATCATTCAATGTAAATTTTGTACCTCCCATCATAAAAAATATGGCTTTTCCAGAACCCTCAATTATTTTTGCATTTCTGGATATTGTGTTTACTTTTGCTTTATTTAATTTCAAGTTGACGAAATATTTTCTGTCCTTGAGTATAGTATGAGTAGTGGCACAATCTGCAAGACATATATCTCCATTTTGGATTCGAGGTCGATCCATGATCTAAAAGAAAACAACATTTATTATTGATTAAAATCGAAATACAGATAAAAGCACACACATACAACAAAACTTAGAAAGCAATAATAAAAAAAACATGATCATCAGTTATTCTCGTGGTCATTTCCAGCTCTGTCTTCAACTACCGCATCCGCAAAATCCAGGTTCAATATGTCATCGATGCCATATTCATCATCCACACGTGTTGAATCATTTTCAGAGGGTTCCCCAATCATAAAATTGGTTTCGATATTCTTATCTTTTGATTTCTGGGAATTGTTATAATTATCAACAACTTGTCTCGGAGCACGACAATTGCGTGCCCAATGTCCCGTCCTTCCACATCGATAACATGCTTTTTCATCATTATTCTCTGTCACATTATTCTGTTCAAATTTTGGCTGGAAATTTCTCCTCCTTTCAAAATTTTGGGCATAGCCACGGCCTCGTCCACGATTATATTCTCGACCCGAGTTATACCCTGGGTGAAATTTGTGGCCTCGTCCAAATCGACGATCTGGACCATATCCACGGCCACGGCCACATCCACGTCCACGACCCCGGCCATGTCCCGAGGTATATCCACGCACATATGTTTGGCTGTTTTCAGTTCTGGTTCCCTGTTTAGATATTACAGCATTTATTTCAGGGACCACAGTAGACCTCGTGGGTCTAGATTCATGATTTTTCATCAACAACTCATTATTTTGTTCAGCCAGCAGCAAACAAGAAATTAACTCAGAATATTTCACAAAGCCTTTTGCTCTGTATTGTTGCTGTAAAAGTACATTTGATGCGTGGAATGTGGACAACGTTTTTTCCAGCATATCGTAATCAGTTATGTTTTCTCCGCATAATTTCAATACCGAGCAAATGCGGAATATCGTTGAATTGTACTCGTTTACAGTTTTGAAATCTTGGAAGCGCAAATGCATCCACTCATAACGAGCTCGGGGGAGAATCACCGTTTTCTGGTGACCATACCTTTCTTTCAAGGCTTTCCAGAGATCTGCAAGATCTTTAACAGTTAAATATTCATTTTTCTATGCCTCATTCAAATGATGCCACAGAAATATCATTGCTTTAGCTTTATCCTGTATTGATGAATCATTTGGGGAGATTATTGTTTTTTCCAATCCTCTTGCCGCTAAATGAATTTCGGCATCCAATGTCATGAGATATAATTTTTCCCAGATATATCGAGAGTTTCAAATTCGAGTTTGACCAGATTTGCCATGATAACTATAAAATAAAACATCAATGCTTAGATTCATAAAATTACATATACAATCATTAATTCTTCAAGACGTACAAAAGAGCAAATACTAAACACATTATACAATGCCTCAATACATAAAATATAAATTCGGCATAATAATACAACATCGTGAATATTACTAAAGCGTACATAATAAACAATATAATGGTAATTATAACTAATGGATCGAACATATTTTTTTTCTTAAAAAAAAATATATTTTGAGTGTTTTGATTATGAAAATGAATTGTAGTGTTATATATAGATATTGGTAAATAGCCGTTGCAATATAACCGTTAAGTAGCCGTTGGAACCAAATTTAATGATATAATATTTGCTAATTAATTATTTATGATCATAAAATTTTAATTAATCATGTATATTACCTTAAATATTTTTTCGAATTATTTGATGAACATTTTCGTGAATATAACAAAGCAAGTAAAAAAAAATGCTCCACATTATTTGATAAATTTTACTGTGGGTACAAGAATAAACATTTATAAATTTCACGCCACATTACTGGGTAAACCATTTTGTGGGTGTTAAGTATAAGTAATAATATTATTTATTATAACTTGAATAATAATTCATAAACAAATTTAATAATATCAGATCACCACATATTATTGAATATGGCATAGCCTAATTTGCCAATAATAATGGTAATGTATAGATAATATCATATTGAGTATACAGATATTCTTGACTGTGGCAGAGTCTAACTTGTCAAGAATAATGGTAATATATTTATATTTAGTATATTCATACCACATATCATTGACTGTGGCAGAGCCTAACTTGTCAAGAATAATGGTAATATGTATATTAGTGAAATACAATACATATACATATATATATTATTATTATTATATTCATACCTTTCTTGACCGGGTAGAGCATTCGTGCTGATAACGTGTTATGAAATGCGATGAAAATAAAGAACACAATGTAAAAACCGGATATAAATCACAAGATGCCTTTTTCTTTCTTTCTTCTTCTTTTCGTCACTCAAAAATTGCACACAAAAATGCACTACATTTGTTGTCTTTTTATAGGCAAAGATGGGCACACATTTTAACACAACATTAATATAATAATACAATGATAAGTTTTAATAGTGGTAAAATTCCACCAATTGTTTATAACATTGATAAACTGAAAAATAGTTAATAAAATAAAAATGGTCGGTAAAATTAGGTGATAAGTCTGATGAAAAAAAATCAGCAAATTTTTTAAAAATTACGCAGGTTATGAAATAGCTTTAACTTTATTAAAAAGCTCATTTTGTCAAACCAAACTTATTGGTTGGGTTTGTTTGGGTAGTAGTGATCGTGGTGATCTTGAGGAAAATTTACCTTTACTTGAGTTGGCTTAATATTTTTCTGGCTTGAGGGTTGATATTTATACACGAAAAAAGGTGATGGTGCATTATGAGTGTCAGCTAGGGGCATTTCAATGCAAAAAGTTGATGGGACGTCTTGGGCGATATTACCAGCTTTATCAGGTCGTGTTCAGTTCAGACGGTCAAGACGATTGTCAGTCTTTCTTTGGAAGCTTCCGTGAGTGATCACAATGTCGAACAGTGATCGCTTAGGCCTCTTTTAACCTTATCGATCCACTTGGGCTGAAATTAGTATGTAGGTCATGTCGAACAAGTTTCACCAGAGAATGAAGACACAATTTTGATATACCAAATTTTAGTCACGACTTCAATTATTATCATATTAATAAAATATGTTTCAACTTTCAATACAATTCATTATATAATATTTCTCTTTTCTTTGGTTAATTTAGTAATCCAAAATGCGAATAAACTTCTACCCTCTTATTTAATAAGGCAATGTAGGAACCTTCAAACTATATAGCTATAAATATAATAATTTAAAATGACTAAAAACATTAATAATGTATCATGGGGCTCTAATAATGTATACTTGATTGTTTTTTTTTTTTCTTTAAGAAAAAAATCTTAATGGAAAACGGACGCAGTTCATTAAGATTGTGGCTCTTACGAAAATACTTACATTTGTACAGAACATAATTCCAATACTTCACCATAAACACTGCACTGATTCATAGAAAATGCCCAACCAAGTTAAGTACCCCGACTTCACTCAACTCAACAATCGACATTTATAATATAATATAAAAAGATAGTACAACACACTTGACTGAAAAAAAAAAAAAAAGGTTCATAAATAAAGTATCAAATATCCCAATTGCTTCCCCATATCTCTCACTGGCTATCAGGATTATTCCGGTTCAGACGCCTCCTCACATACCTCCTCGGCCCATCCACCTCCTCATCTGCAGCCTCTTCACCTCCCGACTCAGCTTCCTCATCATAAGCTTCCCCCCACAGTCTCCTCAACGACCGCCCCCTCGAAACACCCGACCTCTCCGAACTTCTCCGAGGACCGATGAACCTCACCAGAAAAAACACGGTCAGCCAGCCGCCCTCGTCTATGGTCAACGCCCCTTCCTCCCCCCTCCTCTCTTCAGCCACCGACGAGCGGAAGGTGCTCAGCAGGTCCCCAAGGTCCCTCTGCCTCTCCAGCCTCCGCCAGCTGTGCTGCCTATCCGGATCCACGTCAGCAGGCCTCACCAGCGGGTGCACGGACCTCGCGTGCCTCCTCAGGTCCTTGTAGGTCCCGCTGTAGTCGCAAGACTCGCACGCGCAGCTCCTCGACTTGGCGTTCATGAACTGCCTGGCGGGCTCCACCACGACCCACCCGGTGATCGGGCCCCGGCAGAGGGGGCAGACCAGATTCGGCTTTTCCGGGGCCTCAGAGGGGTCCGGTGGGGGGGGCTCGGTGCCGAACGACTTGCGGAACTGGTCGAAGCAGTTGGAGTGGCGGTAGCTAGTGTCGCACATGAAGGGGCGGCAGCCCCTCTCGTGGGATGAGCACATGAGGAGAATGGCGTTGTGGGGGTGCTCCATGCAGACGGGACACCTGGCGTCCTCCCATAGCTTCGTGTTCGTGTTGCTGCTGTCCTCTGGAGGGTTGTCGAGCAGGGATTGTTTGGAGCCGGAGCTGTAAGGGAAAGGGGAGAGTCGAGATGTATCGAGGGAGAGAGAACGGTCTCTTCTATCTCTAGGCATGTTTCGAGACGGTCGAGAGGCTGGTTTTCTTGGTTTAGATCTACACACAAGCAAAAGAAGCGTTAATTTGCACTATGCAGAACACTTGATGGATGTACAGTACAGTATTGGAAGAACCAAAAAATAATTTGTGCACAATAAGGGTTTAACATGGTTGGAAGGATCTATCTGGTCAGAAAACCTTTGCTTTTTCACTGAACGTGGAGAAGTTTTCACGGAGTATAATATGCCCCTACAGGCTGCACCGAGTACATAAATTACATGCTGGATGATTTACAATGGCTGATTACAAGTATTCGATTAATTTAATATCCTGTGAAACAATTAAGTACTCAAGGCTGCATTTTTTTTTTTTTTCTTTTTTGCAAGAATTCTTTGAAACCATCAAAGGTAGTAGATTAAGTACGTAGAAGTTAAATGCAACGTAGTTTCATGGCTATCATATTCATTTTGGCACGATTGATGAAATGAATGGTCATAATTGACGTTACGAACTCCCCAAACAGCCTCAAAACAAACCTAACAAATTAACTTGGAATTCTTCATCCTTCTACTCATTGGTGATGACATCAATAATACCTCACCCGTGACAAGCCACAAGCAAAAACTCACAGATAACAGAGACAGTTAGTGCTATACTCTTTGTATAAATACACAAATGAAAGACTAGGCAAAACAGCTTAACAAATCAAACAACACACACAATAATTATTAATATCAGCTATAAAACAAAAATCATTCCAAAACATGTGATTCATGACTTGACAATGCACTATTTTCGCTAGGAACCGAATTTTTGCCCCAAATAGGTAAATATTCTATTAAGAAGTGATTAACATCGGCACCCTTCAATGGAGGATTACAACTATCGTATTACCACATTTTTCTTTTCAGTTCCTCTGTTTGAATCTCCACGAAGCATAAAACACATAGCTATGATCCATATTAGACAAACAAAATTATACTGTCACAAGTGGCAAACAAAACAGAACTTTTCACACTGTTCGATCGGACATAATTAAGCTATTATTATTTAACAAGTTCTTTGTCAATTTATTTATTATAGATACACCAACCAAACATGGGAATACATATTCATGACATCAAACAACTTTAAAACTGGCCAAAGTATGGACAGTACAAAATAGGCTTCTTCACCAAAACCCTAAAATTTCAATTTCAACATACTAGTGTAATTAATGGCGGAAATGGCATACCAAAATCCCGCAATAGCGCCGCCATAACCACCATCCTTCACAAATTTAAAATGGTGGTTAGGCAGGAATCTGTCATAGCCTCGCCATTTTATAACATTGCAACAAAACTTTATAACAGAGATTAGAGTACACGCAACCACAAGTTAGAACAATAACAAGGACCCGGAGTCAAAAGCACACGTATGGACAACAAGGACCAAGAATCAAATAGCGTGTTTGGAAACACTTTTCATATGGACTTTTGGACGCAAAAATCCATTTGGATAAATATTTATGTTCGGTGCTAAATTAAGAATGCACTTATAAGCGAGTTGTTTCTCCAAAAAGTCCATTATGTAGAAGTAAAGGATTGAAACTTCTGGATAAATCGATTTTGGATAAGTCCAGAAGTGCTCCCAAACAAGCACTAAATATCCAACCAAAGTAATTAACTTTATACGCACTCCCGACCCTCTGATTCATAACAGATGAAATTATACGCAGAACCAATCAAGAAACAGCTTTAAGACAGTTGCCACACCAACTTTGGTTGGTTAATTCGATCAGTTCATAGATGGTCGGCAAGGCCCAGTTTCAACAAGTTCCCAACCAAAGTAGTTAACTTCACAATCACCACAAAGGCATAATTTCCCAAGTTAAGACACCAAAATTAACATCGCATCCCAGGACCCAGTTTCCAGTTAAAACAAGCTCCCAACCAAAGTAATAAACTCTACGATCAGAGCAGGACATAGTTCCCAAGTTAAGACACCAAAATCAATCACACATCCCAGGAAAATCAAATCGAATTGACACACCACAATTAACACAAGGGGGATTATTCGCTACAATTCCACTTCCGATTAAACGAAGTCCCGGAAAAAGAAAACAAGAGAAATGGGAATCTCACATGTTGTTGACTTATGAGTGAAGTCACCAGAAACCGACGAGGGGAGCTCGATTATCTCGGATCTCGCAATCGGAACGCAGGCTAGTCCGCCGGGAAAGTCGGTGCAGGGTAGGGTTTGCTACCGGCACCTGCAGAAGGTAAAAATTTTCAGGCGAGTAGCCGCAGGTTATCTATCTATATATATATGGAGAGAGAAAGAGGGTTCATTTGGTGCAATTCAAAAGTCGGCTAGTTGGGGGATGGAATAATCTTGAATATGAGAAATCCTCACCTACCCACGGTGGGCACATGTTAATATGCCCACCGCGTATGTGATATTCGCTCATGGGTGATGTATTTTTTAAAATATATTAACATCACCAATGAGTGGATGTCACATACGCAGTGGACATATTAACACGGGCCCACCGTGAGTAGGGGAACATTTCTATCTTGAATATGGCAGCCATTGCGCCATGTGCTGCGGGGGTGATGTGGCGCATGAGCGGAAAACAAACAAAAGGTGATTTTGGTTTTCTCTAATACGGACCTGATATAGTGGGCCGAGCTGTACAATTTCATCATCATTTATTGGGAAAATTTTATAATTAATGACGTCACTTGACTATTTATTTACACATTTTACAATAAAAGGCTTATTCATTATTTATACAATTTTACTCCATTTCATTTTCATTTATACCCATTTATCCCATTAACCGTTCCTACAACTTTCTCCCTCTTTCTTCAATCTTTTTTCCTACTTTTTCTCTTTCTTTTATCTTTTAATTATATCTCTTCTTCTTCTCTTTATTTTTTTTCTTCTCTTCGTCTCCTCTTTCCAGATTTCTCATGTTTAAAAATAATTATCGCAAAATTAGCAGAAAAATTCTTCGTTTAGTGACCCAATCTCAATTCATTGTATTTCTATAACCGAAGTTTATTACCAATCGCGTGGTTCAGCAAGGGCCTGAGTCGCCTGACGCTTGGTATCGGTTCATGAGCGGCAGAGAGTGGCGAGCACCGACGGCTGTTAGTAGATCTTTGATGGGTTGCTTCGGATCTGTGTTACCCGTCGACGGTGGTTTGTGCAAAGTGTTCAAGTTTAGTTTTGCATGTTTATATTATTTTTTGTGTGATTTTTAGTAATTTTCCATTAATCATTTGCATGATATGTTAAAAGCCTATTTTTTTAGATTAGTTTTGCTAATTTTATTTTAATTTTATGGCCTGATTTTTTTGGGATTTGATTATTCTTTTGGATGTTTGCTTTTATGTACTTTTTCTCTTTTCTTTTAAGTTTTTTTCATGTTTTTATCATGTTGCTTTAAAGTTTTTTTCATGTTGTTTTTTCAATGTTCTGTTATTTTCATGTTGCTTTTTCAATTTAAGTTTTTTTAATATAATCCACATATTTAGTTGTTGTGTTATTACTTATTTGCTGCTCAGAATCTTGTTTATATCTTTTCCGCTTTGAATATATCTAATTTCAGACCTCTTATAATATATGTTTATTTTGTAATTTTTAATTTTTTTATTTTTTTTTAAGATTAAGAAAAAATGACAGAAATTAATGGAAATCAAATCATATTGCAGACGTAGTAGTACTAATTGATTATTCTTTTTTATTGTTTTTTTTTTGGTTTTTATGTTTGAAGAAGAAGAAGAAGAGGAGGAGAAAAAAAAAAGAACAGAGCAAAAAACGAATTGTGAGAAGAAAGAGAGAGAAGGAAAAAAGAGAAAGAGAAAGAGAGAGAAAAAGAGTTATTATTTTAAATTTTGATTAATGTAACTTCCTATTCAAGCATTTTTGGAATTCATAATACCCCTTTTTGGAATTCTTATACCCGTTGGTCTTTCTAGAAATGTGTATTAGAAATGGGGCAGTTATAAAATTTTCCCAAAATTTTATAGGGAAATTTTAATCTATCCTATCAGATTTTGAAAAAATTGCAAAAATACAATTAATAAATAAATAATTACATCTCTACCTAATATGTTATAAATAACTACATTAATGCCTAAAGTAAGTTACTATATTCATTTAATCTCCATCCCCCTTTTTGTGGGTTTGATTAAGGGGCGAGAAATAAAAATAATAACTGACTAATTTAATTTCTTAATTCACGCAGTCATCGTCAGGTGGTATATTTTGCGTTTATGTTGGTATATATTCAGTATATGTTGCAATGAAAAAAATATGTCTTTCATAAAAAAATTATGTATTATTTTCTTTTTACTTTTATACATAAAAGTATATATAAATATATACAAATCTTCTAATATGGTGAACATATAGTGAACATATAATCCATATACGCACAACATATACTTAATAGTTTACAAAAAAATCTTTAATATATTGAACATATACTCAATATACACACCACATATACTCCATATACACACCTCTACTTAATAGTTTACAAAAAATCTTCTAATATATTGAACATATACTTAATATACACACCACATATACTCCATATACACACCTTTACTTAATAGTTTACAAAAAATTGTCTAATATATTGAACATATACTCAATATACACACCACATATACTCCATGTACACACCTCGCTTTGTCGGTCAAACGCCCAGTTGCAGTTATCAATTTTTTTTTGTTTTTTTTTTTTTGTATGCGCCCGCCATTAATGGCGGACCGAGCTCCGAGCTCGGATTTCCAGCGCCCGACGACACGAGGATCAACGGTTGTTCACTCCCAAATTTGCTTTTTTCGAGCCGAATTTGGAAGTTTCGTCTTGGCCATTGAAGAGGGTTTTTTTGCTTTGTTCCCTCCATGGCTGCACGTGTTCGTCGTTGCCTTCTTTATCCTTTTCTTCTCGATTCTTTTGTCTTCTGTTTCTTTCTCTTGCACTTTCTGCCCAAGCTATAAACATTTCATCACTTTATATA